TTGGTTTTTCAGGAACTTGAACAGAAGCTGTGCACAAAGCACCTTTTAAAGCGGCTCGTTGGACACGGGCCCCATGCAAGGAAGTCATGCAGGAAGATCATGGGAATGCTGCCGGGTCAGATCCAGATGCCCAGCTCTTCTCAGTCCATGCTCCAAGAGGTACGCAGGGGAATAAAATCCTTACACAGTGGGCCAAAGTGGACAGAATGGGGTGGGGGGAAGTTGCTTGGTCGTATCTTGGTGTGAAAGACCCCGATTCGAATCCCCACTTGCCTTGAGACTTACCTTAGACCGGTCATGCTCCCTCAAGCCGAGCCTATCTGACAGAGGTGTTGTGAGAATAAAATAGAGAAGGGTGAGCAATGTACACCTCCCTGAATGTGTGTACATATTTATAACTGGGTTTGCCCTATTCAGGAGCTGCGGTGGCTCAAGTGGTTAGGACGCTGGACTGCAGGCTGTGGAAGGTCGGTAGTTCAGCAGTTCGAGACCCGAGTGTGCCGCATGACGGAGTGAGCTCCCGTCTCTAGTTCCAGCTCCTGCCGACCTAGCAGTTCGAAAGCAAGAAATTGCAAGTAGATAAGTAGGTACCACTTCAGTGGGAAGGTAACAGCGTTCCGTGCGCCTTGGGGTTCAGTCATGCCGGCCACACGACCACGGAAACGTCTTCGGACAGCGCTGGCTTTTCGGCTTTGAAACGGAGATGAGCACTGCAACCCTAGAGTCGGACTCGACTGGCTTCCGAGCAAGGGAACCTTTACCTTTACCTTGCCCTATTCATGTGTAAAGTCTGGGGGGGTTAGGGTCTGGGGGGGCAGTCTTCTCCTATTCCCTCTCCTGCAACCCAGCCTCTGACAACTAAAGTGAGAGTCTGGGAAAGAAGAAGCATGTGGAGGTTTCACCTCTTCTTGCCCACTCACCTTTCTTCCGCAAAACCATTTCAAAGGAGAACATGGCTGCCATAGCTGACTGGCTGTTTTTCTGGCGCTTGTTTTGCTCGAGGAGTATTTTTTTGTCACCCATCCTCCAGAAATAGGGATGCCAACCTCCAGGAGGCACCTGGCGATCTGCTATTACAGTTGGATCTCCAGATGACCGAGATTGGTTCCCTTGGAGAAAATGGCCGCTTTGGAGGGTGTACTGTATCGTATTATACCCCACTGAGGTCCCTTCCTTCCCCAAACCCCGCCATCCCCAGTCTCCACTCCCAAAATCTCCAGGTGTTTCCCGACCCAGAGCTGCCAACCCTATCCAGGAAGCTTAGGGCAGTGGACACAATTCTCCCCCTGTGAGGTAGCCTAAGCAGAGGAAGAGGTAGAGGTAGAAGAAGAAGAGGAGGAGGAGGAGATTGGATTTATACCCCGCCCTTCACTCGGAATCTCAGAGCAGTTTACAAACTCCTTCCCCTTCCCACAACAGACGACCTGTGAGGTAGGTGGGGCTGAGAGAGCTCTGACAGAAACTGCGCTTTCAAGGACAGCTCTTGTCAGAACTATGGCTTGCCCAAGATCATCCAGCAGCTGCAAGTGGAGGAGCGGGGAATTTATTTATTTATTTATTTATTTATTATTTGTATTTTTATCCCGCCCTCCCCGTAGGCTCAGGGCGGCTTACAGGGCATATTGCCGAATCATAGCATAAAACAATACATACATTAAAATATTAAAACCAGTTATACTCATAGAAAAATATATTTGGTGCTCCTCTCTTTTGTGTCACCCGTCCTCCAAAAATAGGGATGCCAACCTCCAGGTGGCACCTGGCCATCTGCTATTACAGTTGATCTCCAGATGACTGAGATTGGTTCCCTTGGAGAAAATGGCCGCTTTGGAGGGTGTACTGTATCGTATATGGATAAAACGTCCAGCTTGATGTGAAATTGGAGGGCCTCTTGAACTATCAGGAAATTTCCTTGGACGTCCTAAAAAGGGAGAAGGGGAGACTGCTGGAATGCTCCAGAGAGGACATTGTAATTGCTCATTTTATACTTTTGTAGCCCAGATTTTAATTGTTTTAATGATGCGTTTCTTGTTGTGTTCATGGTTTGGAAGACGTGGTTTTATTATAGATATTTTCATCCCTCAGCCCCCTTGGCGGCCCCTATGAAGGCAGAAAGGCGGGATACAAATTTTTGTAAAACTAAAATAAATATTTTTTAAAAAATTATTTTTATTTATTTGTTAGCCGCCTTCCTACTGGGCGGAACCCATGGCAGCTTACAATATAAATACGACAGTAATTTTAAAAGAAGCATAAACAAAACCACAGTTATTAAAAAAACATAAAAGACCACAATTTAAAACCGATCAAAGATCTGTTTTCTAAAGCTCCCAGAGCTCCCTCGCACCCAGGGCCATGAATAATTGACTCAAGCAGGGCTCTTTTTGTAGAAAAAGCCCAGCAGGAACTCATTAGCATAATAGGCCACACCCAACAGCAGGAACTTATTAGCATATTAGGCCACAGCACAGCTCATTAGCATATTAGGCCACAGCCCTGTGTTGCCAGAAGTGTGGTCATCCAGCCACACCCACCTTTTGCTTGTTATTCTGTTTACCTTGTTTGTTGTCCAAACCCAGGGGCTTTTTTGTAGCAGGAACTCCTTTGCATGTTAGGCCACACACCCCTAATGTAGCCAATCCTACTGAGTTCCTGCTGTTGGGTGTGGCCTATTATGCTAATGAGTTCCTGCTGGGCGTGGCCAACTCAGGAGCCAGCCAGAACCCCGTTCCTGTGCGTTCCTGCCCAAAAATAGCCCTGGACTCAAGCTTTCCAGACAACAGTCGCAGGCTCCCAAAACCCTCCTCATAGGGTTGTCAGTTCCTGGAGAACGGGGGGTGGAGCCTGAGGAGAGCAGGATTTGGCGATGGCAGGAACCTCAGCAGGGTGGGGCCATACAGTCCACCCTCAAAAGCTGCTGTCTTCTCCGTGCGAACAGAGCTCTGTAGTCTGGAGATCGGGTGGGATTCCTGGAGATTCCCAGGCCTCACCTGCAGATTGGTGGCCCTACTTCCTCATAGTGCAGCCTTCCTCAGTAATTCAATCTGTAGGCTAGGGAAGGTCACCAAGCCACTGCTAAACCTTTGTTGAGCCACCCCCAGCTCACCCCGCCTACAGCAAACACATTGGGACTTCAGAGTTCCCTAGAAACACTCAGCCGTGCTCATCTTCACTTGCCCGTAGCAGCTTATCACGTTTTTCACCCCTTCTCTACTCTATCCTCACCTCAACAATGCCGTGAGGTAGGTTAGGCTGAGTGTGTGACTGGCCCAAGGGCACCCAGCAAGCTTCTGCGGCAGAGCAGAAATTCGAACCTGGTTGGCCCAGATTTTAATTTGACAGTCTATGCACTATGCCAAACCAACTCTCAGTGGCCAAGTAGGGATTTGAACTCGGGTCTTTCCAGTCCTAACCTTCCCTACCAGCTAGCCTGTCAGTTGCAGGAAAGTAACTGTTTCCCCATTGCGGAAGCAGCAAATGTGCTCTTTCTGAAATAACAAGGTCCATCCTCTAGTACCGCACACCCGTCTCTCCTTTGCTAGTTGGTGTACAGATTCTGGGCAGGGTAAGCAAACCTGTTGGATTCAGACACTGGGACCAGTTGACAGACGTTTGAGACCAGAGATACTTGAATACTTGCCTGTATGTAGAGAGCTACCATATCAAGGGAGGACCACTTCAGTGGGAAGGTAACAGCGTTCCGTGCGCCTTGGTGTTTAGTCATGCCGGCCACATGACCACGGAAACATCTTCGGACAGCGCTAGCTCTTCGGCTTTGAAACGGAGATGAGCACCGCAACCCTAGAGTCGGATTCGACTGGCTTTCGAGCAAGGGAAACCTTTACCTTTACTTACCATATCAAGGGCCTCCTCAGTCATAGAGTCAGAGTTGGAAGGGGCCATACAGACCATCTAGTCGAACCCCCTGCCCAATGCAATGGCAAAACTTCTGAATTTCCTTGCCAGGGCAGGGTTCCCAACACTACCTCACCAAATGCTTGGAAATTGGGGGGAGGGCAGTGATTGGGGAGGACATTAGGACAGTTCCAGACTCTAGGCTGCTTCCCCTAGTCTCTGTGGTCCTTAAGATAAAGATATGGGGGGAAATTCCTAGAGCGTCACTATGTGGAGGCCATTTTTCTCCTCCTCCTCAGTACCACAGGGGCAGGAAATTGGGACTGGGGATTGACAGTTACCCACTCCAGGTGGGGAAATAGGAGGCCTTCCCCAGGGAGATTTCTCTCCCCCCCCCCCCCAATTGCTGTCTTAAATCAGCAGGTGAAGACTTTTTCTGTTTCATCCGGCAGTACCGTATTGACCATCATTCTTGTTCGTTTTTAATTGCTGGTTCTATTATCTACATGTGCTGTTTTACAGCTGAATTTGATGTCTTTTTAACAGTTTGCCTCCTTGAGAGTGCTAATTGGGCAGAAAGGTGAGATACAAACGTTTCAAATAAAATAAAATACTTGGGGGAAGTGTTGGCCAAACTTCTTTTCCTTGGCACGCTAGATTTCCGTATGCAGAGGGGTTTTTTTTTAGGGGGAGGGTTACCAGGAAATCACCCGCCCGTGTTCTGAATGGGTACAGCCCCGGAAAGCTTCTACTAGGAGCTCTTTCGGTATCTTTGAATCAGTCCAGAGGGCACAAGAGAGAAGAAAAACTTGGTTGTGGCAGAAAGTGCCCTTCAGTTGCAGCCGGCTTATGGTGACCCCATTGTTGGGTTTTCAAGGCAAGAGACGAACAAGGGTGGTTTTCCACCGCTTGCCTCCACGCAGCAACCCTGGACTTCCTTGGTGGTCTCCCTTCCAAATACTAACCAGGGCCAACCCTGCTTAGCTTCTGAGATCGGATGGGATTGGTTTAGCTTGGGCCATCCACGTCAGGGCAAAGCAGTCTTAGCACAAATGTTAATTGTCTATTTTATTCTGCCAGGCGACGAGGCGCAAGATTTTTCCACAAATCATTCCGGTGAACTGGATCATCTGCACGATGATGAGGGCGCCTCCAGGTGCTGTGCGGAGGAAGCCATCTTTGGTCTTCAGCAGCAGCCAGAGATGTTCTGTGAAGACCAGTCGTTGGAGGCAGTGGGGAATTCTGCTCCTTGCTGGAGAGGCCTGGAGGACGTCAGTGAATCCACCGCCCAACAGAGACTCGCCACAACAGAGGCTCGAGAGAGGCGGACTGAGAACAGCAAAGGCCTCACCTGGAGGCCAGACTTTGTGATCAGCCGGAGAATCCCTAAGAAACAAGACAAGCCCTACAAATGCTCTGAGTGTGGGAAAAGCTTTGGCGTGAGCTCAGACATTATCCGTCATCAGAGAATCCACACGGGGGAGAAGCCGTACAAATGCCTGACATGCGGGAAAGGGTTCAACCAAAATTCCCACCTTGTTGCACATCAGAGAACCCACACGGGGGAGAAGCCATATAAATGCTGGGAGTGCGGGAAAAGCTTCAGCCTGAGTTCAGATTTTACCAGGCATCAGAGAATCCACACAGGGGCGAAACCGTATAAGTGCTCAGAGTGTGGGAAAGGTTTCATTCAGAAATCACACTACATTACACATACAAGAAACCATACCGGGGAGAACCCATATAAGTGCCCCGAGTGTGGGAGAGGGTTCACATCCAGCACGCTGCTCATCAGACATCAGAGAATCCACACCGGGGAGAAGCCATTCAAGTGCTCCTATTGTGACAAAAGGTTCTGTGCCAGCTCGAACCTCGTCACGCACATGAGAACGCATACTGGAGAAAAGCCGTTCAAGTGCCCAGAGTGTGGGAAGAGCTTCAGTCAGAAGTCCACCCTGATCGCACACGAGAGAACGCACACGGGGGAGAAACCCTACAAATGCTGGTGCGGCAAAATGTTCAGCAAGAGCTCGGACCTCCTCGCCCACGAGAGAACCCACACGGGAGAGAAACCCTACGTCTGCCCGAGCTGCGGCAAAAACTTCCGGATGAGTTCTCATCTGATAAGACACCAGCGGATTCACACGGGAGAGAAACCGTACAAGTGCTCGGAGTGTGGGCGGAGCTTCAGTGCTAGCTCACATCTTATCAGGCATCAGAAAATCCACGTAGGGGGAAACTGAAGAGCTGCAGCATGGTTGCAAAAATCCCACTACTGACACATGAGGGGGTGCAATTTTGTACATTTCCTTGGATGGTAATTCCTTTGGAATCAGGGAGACTTCTAATAAAACTGTTTTGGATTGCTTTCTTCTGGAATGCTACCCCCTCAAGAAAAAAAGGTCAGGGTTTTGCCTCCCTCTGTTTAGTGCTGTGTACCACCTGTGCCTGGTGGATCTCTTTGTCCTTGAATGGGGACGGTGCTATGCCCACACAGTGTCACCCCCCTGTATACACCACTAAAACGACACCATCTGTCACCTTGCTTCGTGGTAGGGCTAGCTCTGTTTTTAAGAAGATCACAGAGACGATGTTGCCAAGTTAATTTATGGCCGTGGCTCAGGGGTAGAGCATTTGTTAGGTTCCAGGTTTAATCCCGGGCATCTCATAAGAACGTAAGAGAAGCCATGTTGGATCAGGCCAGTGGGCCATCCAGTCCAACATTATTCTGTGTCACACAGTGGCCAAAACCTAGGTTTTGTCAGGAGGTCTACCAGCAGGGCCAGAACTCCAGGCGCCCTCCCACTGTTGTCCCCCCCCCCCCCCCCAACAACCAACAAAACACAGACACAAGTAAGAGAAGCCATGTTGGATCAGGCCAGTGGGCCATCCAGTCCAACATTATTCTGTGTCACACAGTGGCCAAAACCCAGGTTTTGTCAGGAGGTCTACCAGCGGGGCCAGAACTCCAGACGCCCTCCCACTTTTGCCCCCACCCCCGCAAGCACCAAGAACACAGAGCATCACTGCCCCAGACAGAGTCTTCCATCTATATTTTGTGGCTAATAGCCACTGATGGATCTTCAGTTGAAAAGATGAGGTAGACCAAGGGTCTCACTCAGGAAAAGGCAGGTTCATTTAAGGAGGGCACCATGGCTGAGTGGTAGAGCATCTGCTTGGCATGCAGAAGGTCCTAGGTTCAATCCCCAGCATCCCCAGGTGAAAGGATCAGGTATGTGCAAAATACCCCCACCTGAGACCCTGGACAGCTGCTGCCAACCTCTGGGTACGACCTGGAGAGCTCACAAAATTGCAACTGATCTTCAGACTACAGAGATCAGTTCCTCTGGAGAAACTGGCTGCTTCAAAGAGTAGACTCGATGGCATTATACCTCGCTGAGGTCCCCCCCCAAAATCCCTCCCTTCCCAGGCTCCACCCCCAAACCTCTGGAAATTCCCCAACCCGGATTTGACAGCACTTCCTACAGGACATGTTTTGGGTCCATTTCCCCACCCTGATCCTTTGTGGAAGACTTGCTATCCTGCCTCATGAATTCTTGCTCGTACCTCCTTCAGTTTCAGGGTTATGAACTTGGGGAGGGCTTTAAAAAAAAAGAAAACCCAATGTCTCTTATGCATTCCAGGACAACACAGGTGAACTCTCCCCTTGGCATTCTCTTGCTTGGGGGGAGGGGTCAACCCCAGCAGCATTATTAAATGTGAAATCCAGCTTGGTTCGTTGCAGTCTCAATTATTTTGTGGTTGGTATAACCAGCGGTCATTTCCTGCGGGAGCGCACAGGAGCAGAGCTCCGGCAGTAAAGAGCCCAGGGGGCGGGCACATGCAACAAGCCCCACCCCCTGCTCCCAGCAGACCTCAGTCAGAGCAAGAAGCAGCCAGGTAAGTTGCAGAGCCCCCACCCCCCAAGTCCAAAACAGTCCAGTGGCACCTTTAAGACCAAGTTTTATTCAGGTACAAGCTCTCCCTCCTCTGTGAGGACAGATCTGCACGCCCTTCCCCCAATAGCTAGCAATCCAAAACAGTCCAGTGGAGCCTGAACGGTGGCTGTTGCCTTCTGACACACTTCCGGTGATGCCAGGGGGTGTGGCATATGCAAATAAGTTATGCTGAGTTATGCTAATGAGCTCCTGCACCTCTTTTTCTACTAAACGGTGTAACGGTGAGATAGAGGGAATAGCGAAATATTTTGTCTGAGGGAAACCCAGTGCAGATAAGAACCTCCTGGCTCTGGGATTCAGAGGATCAGTGCCTCTGAACGGGGAGGTTCCCCTCAGCCACGGCGGCTAGTAGCCATTGATACTTCTCCTCCATGAATCTATCTAATCCCCTTTTCAAGCTGTTTATTCCTGTGGCCATCACTACATCCTCTGGCAGCGAATTCCACATTTTCATCACTGTGGTACATAGTATTTCCTTTTGTCTGTGTCCTGAGCCTACTGCCCATCCCATGATCTGTCTACATCCTGAATTCCTGCATGGGGAAGTAGAAGGGGAATTAACACGCTGGCCCGACCCATCGTCTGATCCCCAAGTGTGGCGGAAACACTCCTCCGCGTGCCCCTCCCATGATCAGTGGTGCTGCTCCTGCACATTTTCACCACACAGACATCCTGGGGGTCGCGCAGAGGTGGGGTGGGGTCAGCACGTTTGTGTCTTCACTCCCTCCGTGAGAATGATTCCATCCTCTGGCAGCGAATTCCACATTTTAATCACTCTGTAAACATAGTATTTCCTTTTGTCTGTCCTGAGCCTACTGCCCATCCCATGGTCTGTCTACATCCTGAATCCCTGCATGGGGAAGTAGAATGGGAATGAACACACTGGCCCGACCCATCGTGTGATCCCCAAGTGTGGCGGAAACACTCTTCCGCGTGCCCCTCCCATGATCAGTGGTGCTGCCCCTGCACATTTTCACCACACAGACATCCTGGTGATCGCACCGAGGTGGGGTGGGGTCAGCACGTTTGTGTCTTCACTCCCTCCCTGTGAATGATTCAGTGCCCGCCCAGATGGGTCACCCACGCGGGGCTAGACAGAAGCTGGCATAGCCTAGTGCAGGAGTCCCCAGCGTGTGAGTGCTCCGCGTGCCCCTCCCATGATCAGTGGTGCTGCCCCTGCACATTTTCACCACACAGACATCCTGGTGATCGCACCGAGGTGGGGTGGGGTCAGCACGTTTGTGTCTTCACTCCCTCCCTGTGAATGATTCAGTGCCCGCCCAGATGGGTCACCCACGCGGGGCTAGACAGAAGCTGGCATAGCCTAGTGCAGGAGTCCCCAGCGTGTGAGTGCCATGGTGCCCACCGAAACCTTTCCTGGCATCCACCGAGTGTTTTTATAATGTGGGTGGGGCAAGGTGGGGATTTTGAAGAAGAGGAGTTGGATTCAGTGTTCCCTCTAAGCTGCGTTACGGTGAGCCAGCTCACAGTTTTTTAGCCTCCGGCTCACACATTTTTGCCTTAGCTCAGGAAGGAGGGCTTCGGAGCAAACGAATTTGCGCAGCAGCCAAATCGCTCGCTCACAACTTGAATGCCAGCAGCTCACAAAGGAGAATTTTTCCTCACGAGACTCCACAGCTTAGAGGGAACATTGGTTGGATTTATACCCCGCCCTTCACTCAGAGTGGCTTTCAATCTCCTTCCCTCCCTTCTCCCCACAACAGACACTTTGTGTGGCAGGTGGGGCTGAGAGAGCTCTGAGAGAACTGCCCTTGAGAGAACAACTCTGAGAGAGCTGGGACTGACCCAAGGCCACCCAGCTGGCTGCATGTGGAGGCATGGGGAATGAAACCCGGTTCTCCAGACTAGACTCTGCTCCTCTTAATCACTACACCAAACTGGCTTTTGCCCAGCAAGGCTTCTGATTGGGCCACTGGAAATTTGATCAACTGTGCAGATTTTTTTTAAAAAAAAATGTTGGTGGCAACTGCCACCACAGCACAAGGTTCTTCATTCGTGACTGAAGGTAAGCTGCGGCGGCCATTTTGTGGCAGCCTCTACCTCTTCCGGCACACGCCATGCCAGAAATCCAAAGGTGTCCAAAGGCTCAAAAAAGACCCCTCGTCTAGTAGGTAAGAGAATGAGCCATGAAGCTGCAAGTTCAAATTAAGACTTAGGCACAAGCTCTCCAGCTGGGGAATCGTAACACTGGCCTGTCTCTCAGGGCTGTTGGAAGAATTATTGCAGTAACCGGGGGAGAAGAGGTGAAGCAGAGTGAGCACCGGGCTCTTTTTGTAGCAGGAACTCCTTTGCATATTAGGCCACACACCCCTAATGTAGCCAATCTTCCAAGAGCTTACAGAGCTCTTCTTACAGGGGCTACTATAGAGTGAGCACCGAAAGCAGTGCCAAGTATTGGAATGTACTGAAGATGGAGGGCCTCTGAACATGTGCAGAGTGCTTCCCCCCCCAACTGCGAGAGAGGAATTAGGACAGGGATTCAGTGTCAGACAGGAAGGCTCCAAGGCAATACCAGCTGCTGGCCACCTTTTTAGAAGAAGAAGAGATTGGATTTATACCCCGCCCTTCACTTGGAGTCTCAGAGCGACTTACAAACTCCTTTCCCTTCCCCTCCCCACAACAGACACCCTGTGAGGTGGGTGGGGCTGAGAGAACTCTGACACAAACTGCTCTTTTCCAAGGACAGCTGTGCCAGAGCTTGTGACTGACCCAAGGTCACATCAGCAGGTGCATGTGGAGGAGTGGGGAATCAAACCCGGTTCTCCCAGATTAGAGTCCGCGCACTTAACCACTACACCAAACTAGAAATGGAACTCAGTGATTTGTATTCTTCAAAGGAATTTTTCCTCTTGAACGGTGGCTCAGTTGATAGAGCATCTGCTTGGCATGCAGAAGGTCCCAGGTTCAATCCCCAGCATCTCCAGGTTAAAAAAAAAAAAGGGAAAGGACCAGGTAGTAGGTGATGTGGAAGACCTCTCTCTGCTTGGGACCCCAGACAGCTTCTGCCAGTCTGAGCAGGCAAGCCTGACTTCGATAGCCCAACGGTCTGGTTCAGTATAAGGCCGTTTCATGTGTTCTTGGCTGCATCTGGACCCTGGCTCCATGAAGAGCAGCTGGCTATATCCACTTCCGTCTTCTCCCTCTGGCTCCCTTGGTGGCTATGGAGAAAACAGGAACTCCCGCTCAAAGCAGATCCATGGATTCCTGGGTGGCCCGCTCTCCTCACTGAACACACAACCATCACCTGGATTCCATACCTTTGTCACCTGACAGGCAGGTGGAGCCTGGCTTCTTCAACAAAACAGGAAAGGCAAATATTTCTGAGCCCAGTCTGTGAGTTCACCGCCACAAGGCTCTGGCCTTCTTGAGTTCACCTGGCTGTCCTGTCGGAAACAATGTCCTGGGCCTGAATGGAACTTTTGGTCCAACCCTTCTCGTCCTGTCTTCTTCACAGTCCCATGTTTGCAATTAGGGTTGCCAACTGTGGGTTGGGAAATTCCTGGAGATTTGGGGGTGGAGCCTCGGGAGGGCGGGGACTGCAGCAGGGTATAGTGCCACAGAGACCACCCTCCAACGCTGCCACCTTCTCCAGGGACAGTGATCCCCATCATCTAGAGGTCAGTTGTCACCAGTGTTTCCTCTAAGCTGAGTTAGTGTGAGCTAGCTCACAGTTTTTTAGCTTCCGGCTCACACATTTTTGTCTTCGCTCGGGAAGGATGGCTCCAGAGCCGACTCATTTCCACAGTGGCCAAACCGCTCGCTCACAACTTAAATGCCAGGAGCTCACCAAGTAGACATTTTGCTCACAAGACTCCACAGTTTAGAGGGAGCACTGGTCGTAGCTCTGGGACGTCTCCGGGCTCGGTGGGGAGGGTTGGCAATTGTAACTGCATTGCTGAGGCACAGTTCTTGCACATGTCCGTTATGATTAAGTTGCCTTCCTTTGTTGTCCCAAACCTTTCCGTTATGATTAAGTTGCCTTCCTTTGTTGTCCCAAACCTTTGCACTTAAAAAAATATATGCCGGTATGCATAATGCATACTAGTTCCAGCTCCTGCCAACCTAGCAGTTCGAAAGCAAGAAATTGCAAGTAGATAAATAGGGATCACATCGGTGGGAAGGGAACAGCGTTCCGTGCGCCTTGGTGTTTAGTCATGCCGGCCACAAGACCACGGAAACATCTTCGGACAGCGCTGGCTCTTCGGCTTTGAAACGGAGATGAGCACCGCGACCCTAGAGTCGGATTCGACTGGCTTTTGAGCAAGGGAACCTTTACCTTTACCTTTATGCATAACGCAACCATCCTAAGGCACCAGTACGTCCTTCCTTGCTTGCAGGAAAGATGCTTCACATAAGGCAACGTTTTTTGCATAGTATATACTTTAATGAGAGCAAAGCATGGAACATCATTTTGCAAAGGAAAGACACTTTGCAAGCAATGTGCTGGAATGTTCCCAGCGTGCTCTATGGACCGGTGATGTGTTGTCCACTGGCAATCTTGTCCTCCCCCCACCCACCCCTTCCCAATGCCTGCTTTCCCCCCCAGGCACCATCCCATGCGATCGCATGCATATCCTCCCTATGAAGAGAGCTAGAAACTTGGCCTTCTAAAAAAAATCCAAGCAGCGATTTCCTGGATGTTGGGATCAGCTCCACATTCCAGTAGCAACTGCAGTGCCTCCAAAGCTCTGAGTACAGGGACCATCTCAGCATTCTTTATTTCCTAATGGTCACTTCTCGCTCGTTCGCTTGCCGTGACGGTGGAAAGGGCCGTCAAGCCGCAGCTGACTCGTGGCGACCCTGTCGGGTTTCCTAGGCAAGAGACTAATGGGGGTGGGTCGCCGTCGCCTGCCGGTGCACATCAACCCTGAACTTCCTTGGCGGCCTCCATCCGAATACTGACCAAGGACCATCCTGCTTAGTTTCCGAGATCTGAGGACATCAGGTCAGCCTGGGCCACCCAGCTCGAGGCTATTGCTAACAGTGTGCAAAACAAAGTACGTGTGCACAGCCCTTGTCTACTGAAGTCCTCCTCTGGCTCCAGCTATTTCACCCAAGAGATGCTCTTCCCGTCCTTCCAAGCCTCACCCTTGTCTCCTTTGGGGCCGGGAACTTCTTGCATACGAGCAAAAGAGATCAGCGCCCATAAGCAGGCCTCTGAAGGTGCATTTGGGGCTGCCATTTTCTCCAGAGGGACCTGCTCTCTGTCGCCTGGATTCTGGGAGATCTCCAGTCCCCATCTGGAAGTTGGGAGGAAGGAGAAGAACATAAGAACATAAGAGACGCCGCAGGGCTCTTTTTGGGCAGGAACGCACAGGAACGGAGTTCCGGCTGGCTTCTGAGCCTACCCCTCCCCTCCCTCACCAAAAGCCCGGCTGTTGTGGTATTTGAGCACATAGATTTTGCGTCAAAAACGGCTTCTCTTGCAATTCCGAATTTCGCCACTAGATGCCTCTGCTGTGCTTCCCTACTAACTGGTCACTGCAATGCCTTGCTTCTCAACGCTCGCTGACTGAGACCTCTGATTTGAGAAAAGACTGAGCTTGGGGTGCCACATACAGTCCTTTTCCCTCATTTTGAGGCTTGGTTTCAGTGTACTAAACAGGTAGAAGAAGCTGGGGTGTGGCCTAATATGCTAATGAGTTTCTGCTGTTGGGTGTGGCCTATTATGCTAATAGGTTCCTGCTGGGCTTTTTCTACAAAAGGCCCATCCAGTCCAACACTCTGTGTCACCCAGTGGCCAGAAATACCAGGTGCCATCAGGAGGTCCACCAGTGGGGCCAGGACACTAGAAGCCCTCCCACTGCTGACCCCCCCCCAAGCACCAAGAAGACAGAGCATCACTTGCCCCAGCCTGAGAGTTCCTATCTATACCTTGTGGCTAATAGCCACTGATGGGCCTCTCCTCCATATGCTTATCTCATTCCCATTTGAAGCTGTCCATGCTTGTAGCCGCCACTACTTCCTGTGAAGTGACGAGAAGGAGAGGCAGGGAGCAGTGGCGATTGGATCTATACCCCGCCCTTCACTACCCAAAGGAGTCTCACAGTGGCTTACAATCTCCTTTCCCTTCCCCTCTCCACAGCAGACACCCTGTGAGGTAGGTGGGGCTGAGAGAGCTCTCGGAGAATTGCCCTTGACAGAACGGCCCTGAGAGAACTTGTGACTGACCTAAGGTCACACCCACAGCTGCCATGTGGAGGAGTGGGGAATCAAAGCCGGTTCTCCCAGATTAGAGTCCACTCTCTTAACCACTACACCAGACTGGTTCTCAAGCAGGGCACACACTTCAACTGAGCTGGGGGACGGATGGCCACTCCTGCCCGAGCAGATCAGTTCCGAACAAAGATACAGCCGACTTGGCAAGAACGGCAACCGGCGCTGAACTTTCTTGGTTTGCAACACTCGTTTCCAGGGCTCTTTTTGTAGAAAAAGCCCAGCAGGAACTCATTAGCATAATAGGCCACACCCAACAACAGAAACTCATTACCATATTAGGCCACACCCCTGACAGCACAGCTCATTAGCACATTAGGCCACACCCCCATGTTACCAGAAGTGTGCTCATCCAGCTACACCCACCTTTTGCTTCTTATTCTGTTTACCTTGTTTGTTGTCAAAACCCAGGGCCTTTTTTAGTAGCAGGAACTCCTTTGCATGTTAGGCCACACACCCCTAATGTAGCCAGTCCTAATGAGTTTCTGCTGTTGGGTGTGGCCTGTTATGCTAATGAGCTCCTGCTGGGCGTGGCCAACTTGGGAGCCAGCCGGAACTCCCTTCCTGTGCGTTCCTGCCCCAAAATAGCCCTGCTTGTTTCATTTCAGATGGCCTAGTTAAGGATTGACTCATGATTCAGAACAAACGGCATTTCCCACGTTTGGCATCAGTGCTGTGGGGGCTGGTTTACAGGGCTGCCCGGGGGAGGCCTCTGGCTGCAGACCTTGTTGCCTGTCACCATCTGAGCAGCAGCGGAACGGGGGGGGGGGGGGGGTGTGGCGTGGCGGCCTCTGCAACTCGACATCACTTCCAGCGAAAACCCAGAAGCGACGTTTTACCATAGAGTTTCCTGCAATTCCTAGAGCTACCTGACATCGCTCCTGGGTTTCCTCCGGAAGTGATCTCGTGCTGCAGACAACACCGTGTCCCCCAGCCCCAAAGTTCCCACCAGTTGGTACAGCCTGGCAACTCTATGGCGGTTTACTCTCTGCTGCTACAAACAATTCAGGGATTCACTTGGATTACACAGGCTGCGGGGGGGGGGAGTTGCCAACCTACAGGGGGTAAGTGATACAAATGATACAAAAGATCAAACCATGCATAAATAATATGAAATATCTATTCAGCGTTCAGTGAGTATAATAATCTAAACCTATGAGGTTTTTTTTGAAGATCAGTCACATCTTTATTTGGACTTTTCACTGTTTGAGGAATTTGGGACTGTTTCTGAAGGTGGATTAATAGGACCGGTTTTCGTATTTGGACCACGTATTTTTGAGTTTCTGATCACTATTTCTGAAGGTGGATTAATAGGACCGGTTTTTGTATTTGGACCATATGTTTTTGAGTTTCTGATCACCATATCGTATTTTTGAAAAACGAGACTATTTATGTCGGTTTGGATTATGACACTCGTTGAATGTTGCATATGTATTTTTCATGCACGGTCTGATCTTTGGTATCATTTGTATGGCTTACTCCCTTCCGTGCTTCTCTGCTGTTTGGGAGCCTGCGGGGGGGGGGGTAGCTGGCATCTCCTGGGATTACAACTAATCTCCAGGCGACAAAGATGAGTTTGTCTGGAGAAAATGGCAGCTTTGGAAGTGGGACTCTGTGGCATCATGTTTCCGCGGAGGCCCCTCCCCTCACCAAACCCCGCCCTCCTCAGACTCCACCTCCCCCCAAAAAAATCTCCAGGAATTTCCCAACTTGGAGCTGGCACCCCTCGGTGTCACTGTAAGCAAATCACGTATCATTTAAAATCATATCTTGCTGGGGTTTTTCCACCTGGGCAGTGAGTGGGATGAATCGCGTCTGCACATGCTCGGAACTAAACTGGCTTGAACTACAGTTCCCAAAAGGCAGTGGGGGAACTTCTCAGAACGAGCAAGGCTGAAACAGACGGGCCGTCAGGCTCTCCTCCCCGCCCATGCAGGATCAAGCACATAACGAAAAGTGCCTCTTCACTACCATGAGATTGTTCCGTCTTGAGGATCAGGACCAGAGACTTGTTTCTTTAGAGATCTTGGCGATATTGAGCTCTGCGTCAAATACTAGTTTTGGCACTTTGGGAGTGCAAAAAAGTTAGTGGCTTGAAATAAGTTTAAGAGTTACATGTTGGCAGGCAGACTCTGTTAGTCATCTGTGGGGTGAAAGGAAACAGATTAAAACACCCCCCTCGCTTTAGTAACACTTCCCTGTCCGATCGCCCAGAGCCAATGTTTACTCGCCCTAGGCGAGCTGATGTTCACCCACTTGGCTATAGGTAACCCCACTCAGTGTGGAGGAGGACACACATGTGCCCAACCTTCTGGGCAGTGAGTTTTTGACCAGTTTCGGCAACTTCCTCCTTTGCAGGGAGTCCAGTCTCCGCGGCACTGAAGTTCTTCCCATCATCCGAGCATTGCTGGTACACCTTCTGTCTCGCGTGCCTCCTCTCGTGCGTACTGCAGTGGGATCGCTGGCTGAAGCATTTCCCGCAATCCAGGCATTTGAACGGCTTCTCTCCCGTGTGGGTCCTCCGATGGCGGATGAGGTCCGAACGGTGGCGGAAGGTCTTCCCACAGTCCGAACAGTTGTATGGCCGCTCCTTCGCGTGCATCCGCTGGTGCCTGGCGAGGAGTGAGGGATCGCTGAACTTGCGCCCACAGTCCAGGCACCGGTATGGCTTGTCGCTGGCCGTGTGGGTCCTCTTGTGCACCACCAGGTTCGAGCTGTCGCTGAAGCCCTTGCCACAGTACAAGCACTTGTATGGCTTCTCCCCCGTGTGGGTCCTCCGGTGGCGGACGAGGTAGGAGTTCTGGCAAAAGCTTTTCCCGCAGTCCAAGCACTGGTACGGCTTCTGGTCGGCGTGGATCCGGCGGTGTGCGATGAGGTTGGAGCGGTCGCTGAAGCTCCTTCCGCAGTGGAGGCACTGGAAGGGCTTCTCCCCCGTGTGGGTCCTCCGGTGTTTGAGCAAGTCAGAGCTCCGGCCAAACGCTTTCCCGCACTCCGTGCACACCTTTTTCCGGCGGTCCTTATGAACTCGCGACTGGGCCTCGTCACGTTTCCGGCCATCCCCCTGGCAAGGGATTTTTTTACAGTCTCCCTCCCCCACCGGGCCGTCTTGCCGATTCTCCAATTTGTGTTGACTGTCGAAAGACTCTAGCTGCTCTGGGGACAGGAACGCCCCCTCTGCAAATGTCCCGGAAGGTTCTGCTTTCTCAGAATTTTTGGGTGGAGGAGGCTTCTCCTCCTCATTCTCACTTGCCCATCTATCGCATAACCACGGAAACGTCTTCGGACAGCGCTGGCTCTTCGGCTTGGAAACGGAGATGAGCACCGCAACCCTAGAGTCGGACTTGACTGGCTTTCGAGCAAGGGAGCCTTTATCGTTATGGGGGGAGGGGAGACTGCTGAAGGGCAGAGGGTGGGATGCTGTGTAAATTGCTGCCACGATCCTGTGTAAATTGGCATTGGTTCCCACTTTTAATAATTATAGGGATAGGAAAGAGCTATTCAGGACACTGAAGTGGCACCGAAACCCTGGGGAGGGGTCCGTAGTTCAGTGGTTGAGCATCTGCTTGGATTACAAAAGGTCTCAGGTTCAATCCCCGGCATCAACGGCTGAAAGGATCAGGTAGGCCAAGGGTCTAATTCAGTAAAAGGCAGGGTTCACTTAGGGAAGCGGTCACAGCTTAGTGTTAAGAGATTCTGCTTGGCATGCAGGAGGTCCCAGGTTCAATCTCCAGTTAAAAGGATCAGGCAGCAAGTAATGTAAAAAGACCCCTGCCTGAAATCCTGAACAGTCACCACCAGTCTGAGTAGACAATGCTGTCCTAGAAGGATCAATAGTCTGACTCAGGATCAGGCAGCTTCCTGTGTTCAAGTCTAAGTTTGGGAAGCTTGTCTCAAACAGGGACCAACTATTTATATTGTTTATACTGTATTATATTGTCTGCACAGGCCAGCCCTGCTGCAAAGGAGACCCCCCCCCAGTTTTTATAAACATCTGAAGCACAACACCCCTGATATAATTATAGAAAAAAATGAAAAATAGGGTTTGGATCATTGACGTAATCCCAGGAGACAGCAGAACAGAAAAGAAAGAACAAGAGAAGACCACAAAATACCAAGTCCTACGAATAGAGTTATAGCACCTCTGGGAGAAGGAAGTTACCACTGTGCCAGTTGTCACTGGAGCCCTTGGAGCAGTGCCTTGAAGTCTCAAGAAACACCTGGACATTTGTCCTGACCTGGATAGCTTAGCCAAGCCCAAACTCATCAGATTTCAGAAGCTAAGCAGGGCCAACCCTGCCCCTATATAAATCGATGGTGCGACCTCATTTGGAATACTGTCTGGTCACCACACCTTAAAAAGGATATTATAGCTTTGGAAAAAGTGCGGAAAAGGGCAACTCGAATGATAAAAGGGTTGGAACACTTTCCCTATGAGGAAAGGTTAAAGCGCTTAGGGCTCTTTAGCTTGGAGAAACGACGACTGAGGGGTGACATGATTGAGGTTTATAAGATTATGCCCTTTCTCACAATACAAGAACTTGTGGGCACTCCATGAAACTGCAGAGCGGTCGGGTTAGAACGGATAAAAGGAAGTACTTCTTCACCCAAAGAGTGATTAACACTTGGAATTCACTGCCACAGGAAGTGGTGGCGGCTACAAGCACGGACGGCTTCAAAAGGGAATTAGATAAGCATATGGAGCAGAGGTGGGAGGGCTGGGAGGCGAGAGGCAGGCTATCAAGCCACTTCTCTGAATGTCCTCTGCGCCCCAGTAGTACTGACTGTGACAATTCATAAGAATAAGAATAATGTCATTTTGAAGGTACTGGCTGCTGCACTCCTTGGGCTTTTCTTCAGTTGTTAAGATTTATCTTGTAAATTGCAGTTCATTGAGGAAT